AACCGAGGGTGTTGACACACCTGTTCTTATTAGGAACATTGACTGTATATGTGCGCAAAAAAGAATGTTTCTTTTGTCAAATATTTACAAATTTTATCGATATAAACGATAAGGGCAAATATATTTCCCTTGTGCTCTTGACAAAACCCGAAAGATGACATTTGTACGACTGCATCGTTAATCCTCTTTTGTCTTGACTACACTTTGTCATTGATAATCAAGATCAAACCTTGTCAAACTATGCATTCTTTGCTCTGGACTTTGCTCTTATTGATTTCGATAGTAATTCTTTTCAAAGATGTGGATTCCAATATTCGAAATCAAGAACAAATTGGTAACAATCTTCTTGCTCGATTGCGTACAATGCAGGCTGAACTGACTTTCATCCGTCAGGATATTCACGCTCATCCAGAGACAGCAATGAAAGAAGTACGTACCTCTGCTATGGTTACTGCTAAACTTAAACAATGGAATATAACTGTCACTGAAGGAGTAGGCAATTTAGGTGTAGTGGGTATATTGAAAAGTAAAACACCAGGTAATCATTCTATTGGCTTGCGTGCTGATATGGATGCTCTTGAAATCATTGAGAAGAACAATGTATCTTATATTTCTACGATTTCTGGTATTATGCATGCTTGTGGTCACGATGGACATACTACAATGTTACTTGGTACAGCTAAATATCTGGCAGAAAATCGAGATTCATTTTCTGGAACTATCTACTTTGTTTTTCAACCTGCTGAAGAAACAGGCGTTGGTGCCATGTCCATGATCAAAGATCAACTATTTGACCGATTTCCAATGGATACAATCTACGGATTGCATAACATTCCAGGTTTACCTGTTGGACAATTTGCTATTCGATCAGGTCCAATGATGGCAGCAGCTGATACTTGGGTTGTTACATTTCGAGGTACTGGTGGCCATGGTGCTACACCACAGTTAGCTACTGATGTGACTGTACTGCTAGCAGAATTCATTTTAGCATTACAGACAATTGTTAGTCGTAACATTGCACCAACCGATACAGCTGTAATAAGTGTTGGGGCTATTCAAAGTGGATTTTTCGAATCATTAAATGTATCACCATCAGAAATTCGTGTTGGTGGTACCGCTCGTAGTTTTACGAGAGAGGTGCGAGATACAATTGAACAGCGCATGAAAGAGTTAGCACATGGTCTTGCTACTGCCTTTGAGTGTATAGCTGAGGTGGTATTCAATCGAGCTGGAAATCCACTTGTAAATGATGTTCAGTCCACAGAACGAGCCATTAGAGCAGCTGAGAGTCTTGTAAATGCTGAAAATGTTGATGGAAACACAACACCAATAATGAATGGAGACGATTTTGCTGAAATGCTAGAAAGAAAACCAGGTGCCCATATGTATATGGGAAATGGGAACCGATCTGGTGCACTTCATTCACCAGCATACAACTTCAACGATGATACTATTATTTTTGGTGTAGGCTATTGGGTCAGTCTAGTTCAACAAGAACTTCGGAATGAACTTCGCGTATTTGTGCTGTAACTTTTTAGAGAATCATTGTTTGTTATTCCATTAAAAAGGCATTGAATGCAAAGGCATCGATGCGGAACTCGAAATAGGTTTACTTTGATTGTCGGTGTGGGGCGTGGGTTTAGGTATGAGAGTTGGTGTGGATTTTAATATAAGTGTTAAAAGGGCGTAAGCCAGCATCCACGGCCACAGCACTAAGCGTGAATATTGCTTTAATAATCGATTGTGCACTATGATCTTTGTTAATTCCTGAGAGAGTGAGAGAGAAAGAGTAACTAAACAATAAAATAAACGCTAACATGAAGGTTGCATGCAATCAATATCATCATTCTTCATTCTCTCGATAGGTCCTGTATAACATACTGAGGAGACTGATACTTTATTGATGTGTTGATTTAGTCAATGGCTCTTCCAGAACCAACTTCCCGTCTGTCAATGTTTAATCTGGCTTATTGCTAGAAATGTATATGAGACTGATGGAGAGTTCATGAAGTCGACCGACGAAAAATGGATTTTTATTGATTTCAAAGGCTTCTATTTGCTGTAGTTGTATAGATATAAGATACATACTCAGATGAAAAGTATAAAAAAAATTTTATCGCTCGATGCATTTTTCATTTGAAAATTTGTCGGATACCATTTGCCAATGTTTTTTATGAGAAATACTGTTCCTCAAATTCTTGTAAACTATCGATTCCTAATCTAGGACATCGAATGATATTCACAAAAAAAATAGTGACATTAAGTACGCAGTCGTTCGCGTCCTGTTGATACATCAATACCAATGGAGATACGTACAACTGTGTTCAAAAACTTATTCGATCGGAAAGATTTCTTTTAATTATTACTTCGATTTTTGTACTTATTTATGGCTATTTTCATTATTATCAAGAAATTTATTTTTAAAATTTTGTGGTATTGATTCAAGTAATGATGCCGATTTGCTTATAAGAAAAAAAAAACATTCGGATTGTATGTCCGAAAGACACCATATGGATCCAAACTGAAAAGTGAAACCACATCTGCTACTTACCACCGATGAGTTTTATGAAGAATGGTTGATGATTATTTTCAAAATATCGATCGAGTTCTTCAAAACAAACGAAATTTCTCTGTTCAGCACTCAAATCTTTCGGTATTTGATCAAATAGACAAGCAAATTTAGTTTTTATTCAACAAGACAAATTCCAAGTGAAAAATCCACGTAACAAAAAATGCGGAGAAGCAGATCTAACACTTATAAGAGCTTTCATTTAATTTGAAATTTTTAATGATTGCGTAATTTATGAGATTTTTTTATAATGAATTCTTTTTTTTAAATTCTTTTTCTAGAATCGATTTTCAATTGATCAAAATGATCATTGCGCATTGTAAATTTTATCTTCTTCAGATTTTGTCTAATATTAGAACAGCTTATATCTATGATTAATATATGAAGTTCAATTTTGGAAAGGATTTGTTTTTTGTAATTTTTACAAATCATTTCACTTTATATCTGTGACAACTGAGTGTGAAATCTACTTGAGATTGGGAGAGCATTTTAGTAGTTTTCTATTGTCTGATTCAAAATAAAAGGCAAGTTGCCATTTTTCAAATAAATTTTGTTAGGAACAAGATAGAAATCTGTGATTTTCACCATCCAAGAGAGAAGACTCGGAGTCACCGAAGTATGTTAGAATTTGATTGGTCAGCAAATGATCAATCAGATGAGTTCTCGATGTAGATTTTTGAAAGCGATATTCTGAAGATATTTTTCTTTCAGTTCAAAATTTCGATAGGACAGATTGATAGAAAAAGTTTTTCTCTTTCGATCTATACAAGGCTGACAATCTCAGCTTGTTCCGTTGGAGAGTTATGAGGCTTGTCTTGAGATTCTAGCTTTCAGTCAGTTGACCTGTAATCACTTGGAAAAGCAGCTAGGCAGGAGTAATTCATAATGTTAAGTCGAATGGTGATATTTCGTTTTAAGTTTAAATAGATCTGACACTGTTATCTCAATATTTCTGAAATTACACAATTAGCCTCCACTACTCTCTAAAAACAAGGTGTCATCAGGGATTATTCATAATTTTAGAGAATATGCTGAACTTTTACAGGTTTAATTTATTTATGAATAAACCATTAAAGATTCTAGATAATTTAAAGAGCCATGTCGAACAAAAAATAGTTTCAGGTGTGCAGAAGAGTTCTATCTCGCACTTTTTTTTATGCTGAACTTCTTTTACAAAGATAGTTTCAGCGCAAGTCGTTTGATCCACAGTGATTTATGTTGTGAACAGAACCTAATTAACGTGAGTTTAAAACAGCTTTACTTATCCAATGTAATAATAAAAAAAACAGGGTGTGGATGTATGTATACAGAAGACCCACACCCACACTCTAAAAATCTGTATATTGCTTTGAGGTAAAAATAACAATGGCATAGGTTTGTCAAAAACATTTGTTTTACGATACCTTCATATATTTTTACTTCAAAACTGTTTCTCTCAAATATTTCTTCTAAAATTCTAAAACACACATCAAATAATGCAGAATTTTACGAAGAACTTTGTGTCATAGTTGAAGTTTCATCATTTTCTTTTACCGACACAATTAGACGATTGCATACGTGTTCATCTGTTAAATTTTGCATTGACAAAGAATATTTGTTTGTAAAACAAAATCGACAGTTTTGTAGGATATGAAGTTCTCCAGCATGCTACATAAGAAAGAATTTTTTTTTGATAATTAAGAAATGAGAGAAAAATGCACTGAAATTCAGTACAATTTATCTTGAGACATCCATTAGATTCTTCTCAATGAACAATTAGATGGTGAAATTTTTCAATAATAAATTTGTTTTTTTTTTCATTTAGCTTTACCTCATGAATACTTGAATGGTAAGTCTAATTTCAATAATACATTTTTTTCTGTTAGATCTCTGTCAATGAGCAATTGAACGGCACAGTTTTTCTCAATAATAAATTCAACTTTTTTTTTGTTTCGATTCATCTCATGAGCAGTTAAATCGTAAGTTTAATTTGAATAAATAATATAATTTCTTTTTTCTTCTAGATTGATCTCAATTCATTATTCAATAGTGAGTTTGCTCATATAACATAAGCTTTCGTGATTTCTATTTTGAGTCGTGTTAAGTAGAAATAGTGACCAACTTGGAGAGAAAAAGTAATTCCTTCTTTTTTTTGTTTCAACTCGCGACAAGTCTGAATGGCTACAAGGATAAACGAGGGTTTAGCAATGAGTTTCAATCTATGTTAGGACTCGTTCTGGCTGAGAAGGGATCAATTGCATTATTTCGGTAAGCGAAATTCTCGTCGATGCACGTAATCATATCAAAACAACTGATCTTTTTATGTTAAACAGACGAGTTTTTTGTATGGATAGAACCATTTTTTGAGGCAGAAGGAAAGTTCGAGATAAAACTAAGTTTTACCAGAACCTTAAAAGGTTCAGAAAATGGTGCCCAAATCTAGAATCCTAAACGGATTATTATGACACCATTTTTTAGAGAGCAGTAGAACAATCAGGTTTCGTTCAAAATGTCTTCTACTCACAAGGCTTTTGTCAATTTATCAAGAAGTGAATAACTGTATGGAAATCGATGATCGGGTACTTAGAACAAGAAAGTACACAGATAAGCGATCAAACATTTGCATACTCGAAAATAAAAGGGAATAACCTATAAATGTGTCAAAAATGGTGATACAGCTGTTTTGATACACAAATAAGAAAGTCAAGAGTGCACATAGAAACGAATTAATAAATGAATTTAAATATCCAGGATTTACATGGACAAACAAATTATCTTTGAAAACAACAACTGATAGATGTATAGGAAACATTCAGAAATCTCTTGAAAAGCTTAGATATGTTCGAGTAAAACGCTTTATCTTCACCATGACACTTAGACAATGTTTTTCGCATGCATATTTCCTCGTTTTGCATGATTATTTCTCTTCTTCTCCCAGCTTCCCGAGTCACAACAACAATTACTACTACAGCAGAAATTTTGAGTTGATCTTCGATTAATGTATCGGTGCTCCTTGATCTCAGCTCGTAATCTATAAACTACGATGAATGAACTCTCATTAGAGGCTTATGTTAAACAACACATTCAGAGAAGATTAAAGTGTATGCGTACAATGGATATGACTCGTTCGCTGTTCTATAATGATATTTTCCTTTGAAATGATTTTCCTCCTCTTAAAATGGATATCATTTATCGAAATAAAGTATAGTTGTATACAAAGAAAAGAGGATGCGGAATCCTTCTTCCTTTATCTTTTTTCTTTTTTTTGCTCCCCTTCTTTTCTGTTTTTCTGTTCTTGAAATGCTTGCGAGCGTCCTTCTTCACTTCGCTTTCTCTTTCATTTACTCGCTTCTTCACAAATTTCTAAATTTTTTATGTTTTTTTCTTTTTGTTTTTGTATATTCTCTTTTACACCTAGACGAGCAGAGTCAATACTCTGTATAATGATATTGGTGACAACTGTAAAACCCATCGCATTTATGTTGTTGCTTAGTGCTTAAATGTCATAATTTCTCCTTATATTATCACGTAGGCATTTCCAAGTGTTACATTTACGAGCAAAATAAAAACAAAAAAAAGAGACGACCACTATCGTAGACTGAAGACGCATGACAAGATAGATATGCTAGATGCTGTGACACAATTGAATAGATTAGCTGCATGAAAGTCATGCTGTGTTAGCTCGCATCAATGGTAATCAATGTATAATTAATGAAATCATACAAGCATAGCAAACAATGCGGCAGATCATCCGCTTTACACATAGAGCAATGTTGAGAAAAAAAACAAGTAGATTCTCCTTCTCAATAAGTTGAATTCTGTCTTTTTTTTCAGATATGCTCACCAACCTATTTTTCACTCTAAACTTCTCGTTCTCGATTATGGTTTCGAGTGTCGGTTTACTCTTCACTTTTACGATGATTGTGATCATCACTAGTCATCATCCATGTCGTACTGTCACCAATCTTCTTCTGGCTAATACGTGTGTTCTCATTTCGACCTATTTCATCAATACTATTGTCATATCTGTTTATGGCTTTCGCGAAGATTGGGCATTGAATCAACCAGCTTGTACTTTTCGAGGCTACTGCGCTATTGCATCTTGCATGTCGATTTGCTATTCGTATCTGTTTCAGGCCGTCAGTCGTCTTTTTTTCACTGTGTTTTTCAAACATAAACATTTGCTCACTTTTCGAGTTCATTGGTATTTGATTGCTCTGAACTGGGTCATCGGTCTTGTATTTGCCATTGAACCATTTTTCTTCAAGGATGGTTTCGTCTTCGAAAGTGAATCACGCCTTTGTATGCTAACCACAAAAAACTTTTCCACATCTATGTTTTCTATTTTCGTTGGCTTTGCCATTCCACTTGGTTTATCTATTCTGATCTATGGTATGATTTGGTATCGTGCGCTACAATCATCACGACGCATTGTGGCTGCGGTCTCAGAGACCACAAATTCTAAAGTGCCAAATGCGAAACGTGAAATGAAGCTCGCTCGAAATATGTTGATTGTAGTGAGCATTTTCGCTGGTGAAGGCATACCATTCTTGATTCTTGCTCTTTGGCATGCTATTAAGCCCGACAGCTCACCACCGCAGTCATTTTATCTACTAATTTATAATAACATATCATTTTGTGTGGCTATGATGACAATCGCACTCTTCGTCATGAATAAGCAGGTGAAGGATATTATTCTCACGTATCTAAAGTGCAAACGTCGACGCATTCATCCAGGACTTATTCACCAATAGACGTTACGAGCTACTCGAGAATAACTAAACAATCATCGTTAAAAAGGCATCGTCGATCTCCGCAGCTTTCAAACTCTCTGCTCAACATCACATTTCACTTTGAATTCAAACGCAAATACTTTCTAACTGGTTGAAATGATTTCCAAACAATCTAATGATGTAGAATATTTGTAATTAAATTTTTAGTCGTTCCACTAAGAGAAATAAATCGATTACTTACTATAGTAAAAACGGGTAATCACAAGAAATCAATGAAGCCGTATAACTGCTGCTCTTGATCGTTTAACATCTATTTCGAAGTAAGAAGAATAGTAATGCAAACTCATTCTCTCTGTGTTATATCTGATCTATAGAAAAAAGGAACAAAACTAACTTAGGACAACTGCGGTGACGTTGATTTGCTATGGCTATTTTTCTACTGATAGTTATCACTATAATGAAACATTTCAGAAAACAGTTCAAAGTAGGCATTTACTAAGGCCGAAGTACTCGGAATCGTTCATCCCCAATTATCAATTATTGTGTAAGTCAACAGATAGACATTTCGAGAAATTCTTCATAAAGGTTGACTAAATGTTTTTAGGGTGAGAGTATCTGAATCTGAGATCAGTTTCTCGACATTTCCAAACAGAACTTTAGGCCTAATCGAACATGACTTCAAGCATCCAGTGCGTGTAGGTCTGAGTAAGAATTAAAAGAAACCCGATCCAAACCGATAGCTATATCCATACCCTAGTTATTCATTTGTAGATTATCACGAGAAATAAGAATTATTTATTAGAAATTAAATTTTACCCGTCTACTTGTGCATCAAGTTGATTTGTAATAAATGCTGCAACAGAATTTCATTCTTGTTCACAACATTGTCATACTTTAGGTAAATTAGTTGATAAAAATCATTGGATATGTTCCCTAGTAAGTGCAGGAGAAGATTACCCTCATATTTCGAAAAGGATAAAAACAAGAAGCAATCATCGGCAATATAAATGTAGTATGATCCATTCTTTTGTATACAACGACATCGATTGAACAAGAATTTTCTATTAAGTATGTAACAACAATAGATTTTATTCTTCACTAAGATCGATATAATGAGGTATAGTAATCTTTCATAATTTTGCAAGCAATCATTATTAAAAACAAAAATAAGCAGCAAAAGCTATAAAATCAGTTGAACGTCGAAAATCCGAAAACAAAATCGAAACAATTTGTGTTTAGTATATAATGGAAAATGTATACTAACGATGAGTAATCGTTCTGTATGTCATTAAATAAGATTTTTTTTTTTCATAATACAAATATATAGACAAGAGCATTTGTAAAAAGCAGAAACTTTTGTATTACTCTCTATATTGAAATAAATTTTAACATTACAGATTTCTTACCACCACAACGAAAACCAATCGTTTTCATATGTGGTTACAAAAGAATGTTCTCTTGTTAAATCTGTATGATTGATTAACCATTCTTGAAGATTTTTCGTTGCTTCATCCGACACTAAACCACCGATATGTAGTGAAAAAAGTTCTTTCTTATTCCAAAGTGTCAGCGTTGTCAATATAATCGAATCAATGAATATTTTTGATTTTTTCATATTTAAGATAAATTCAATAAGATAATTGAATACATCAGCAATACGTTGTAATTGTTCTACATCCATATTTTCTCCTTTAAAAATTTCAAGACGAATGAGTCGTTTTTGTAATAAATTGCATGCAGGTTCATCATCAAGTAAAGCCTTGATACAATCGTACTCGACGATTAAAAATTCAAGATTAGGTGCTGCCTGAAGTAAATGAAATAATTGACATATACCATGTACTTCAAGTTTCTTAAGTCGAGGTAATCGAAGACGAATAGATTGAGTTGATGACATCGCTTTAGATATAAAGAATATTAATCAATTAAAAAAATTTGCATTGTTTTTTTCATTAAATAGAAATGCTCACTGAGTAGTAGTAGTAGCTCGCAAGTTTTAAATAAGCAATGCATTCTCATATGAAAATACCTATTAACAAATTAGAAATTGTGATATACGTACCATTTTCTGAATTGTTTGTTACATCAATTGTGAGTGTTCGAAGTTGATGAAGATGTTGTATTATTAAAAGTATTTCAGTAAAAGATGTTACATTGGTGATTTGTAAATCTTCAATTTGTTGTATTTGTATCCAAGAAGATGGCAGATATTTACTTATTGTTGCTGATAAAATAGTTGAACATAAACAACAAGGTCTGCTATACAGTAATACACAATTATTATCTTTATCCAAGAAATAGTTTATTGACATATGATTTGACCACGATGTAAGTAGACGATCTATTTCAAAATTTGATTGTGAAGTGTAATATCGAATAAGAAAATGAAATTGTTTGAGAGATGATGGAAGTATCGAGATTAGATTCTCTCCGTTGATTAGATGTTCATCACTTGTCCATAAATCAAGTGTTAATTTTTGTAAAAATGGCATCTGTCTTAATATATTCGTAATATCGTCGAATATCCATAAGAAATTGACTAAACGTAAATGAAAATCAGTTAAATAAATGAGAGGTGATAAATCATTAAATAATTTATTATAGTCTTGTTCATGTGACATATTTTCAACATACACATATAAACAATGTATATTGGGTATGAGTTTGAAAAGACGTGGTAGTACATAAATAAATTTCAAATTAATTTTAAGCTGTTGAATGTTTGGAAATGAAATACTTTCATCATTATTATCTTTGAATAGATTCAAAGCAATTGAATCATCATCGAATGATATCGATCTAAGTCGTCCATTGTTGGAAGCAAAGATTTTTGTTATTAATTTATCGTCAGCATCTTCTTTGAGAAATCGAATATCAAGTTCAACAAGCTGCAAAAAATCTATAATATTGTCAAGAAATGACAAAAGTCTTTTACCAGTAAATAGTTTTAGTGTAAGCTTTTGAAGTTGAGAAAATATAGATGAGATAGATGGTGCAAAAAGAATAGTTAATGCTTTAGTAGAAATTATTGTTTCCCAATTCCCATTAATTACAAATGATCGAATAGAAGAACCAATGAATGGCAAAATTTTAGTAACAACATAATCAAATTGATGATGTCGAACACCCATTATATTCATATAACGACAATAATCTGTTATTGTATGGTTAAGACGAGTATTTAGATTGAAAAATGAGTATAAAATATCGGATCCACAAAGGTACCTACACATATGTAATATCATTTCATCGGGTAACATTTCAAAAGTATAAATTTCAATCATCTAGAAAAGTTATTCATTAAATTCTATTGATAGTCATTTCGAATATATTTAGTTTCACAATACTCTATTGATTAACGTTTGATTGTGGTGATGCGAGAAACAAAATTGCTCTCACATTATTAACATCACGTTGTGCAAACAATTGTTTCTGTTTCACTTTCATACGACACATTAACAAAAAGAAAAGAAAAGAAAATTTGCATATTATTTACTCGAAGTCATATTCGACACAACATTACCTTATTGGGATACTGATAAACCTACAAAAAGACTTGCCGTAGTTGTCGCTTTATATCTATAATTAAGACTGCGACATTTGAATCCGAATCGAATTATAAACCATTGCAAATGATTATGTTAAAAAAGAATGAAACAATTTTATCAAAGAACAATTAAAGGTGAACATGAAATAGAGTTTTCAGATATTTTTCAAATGAATACACTAAACTAAACGATCTGCAGGATATCCCGAAAGTTTTTTAATATATCGTTTATAAGTAATACTATGAAATAATTTTGTTTTATTTAAAATTAAATTCTAATTTGCATTTTCATTAAGAAGATATAACACGTTCCTGCTTTTTTTTATTAGATAGAGTATTCATTTTCACTTATTCATACTGTAAATGTATGCACCAATAACTTGTTCTGCATTAACATCGGAAAATGATTTTCGAAAGTATTTATATGAACAAGTATAGTACTATTTTAAAATTATGGAATATTGAATTCCACAAGAAGGCAGCTGTTATTCTACCACAGGGAATGCATAACTTGAAAAAAATTTTCAGTTTTTTGTGTTCGAAAAATAGCATAAGCTTAAAGATCCTTCTGTTTCTTTGGTCGAAGCATGTTAAGACAAACTAAACCTCCATAAAAAATAGTGGTGAACTCTACAACTCCCTATATTTAACTAGTCTTGGATTAAACCTGAACAGAACTTGATATATAAGTTCTTTATTCTCATCTTTTTGAATTTGTTTAATTTTGCCTAAATCTCAACTTTGCCTGACACATATCTTTACGATTTGATTTAAAGGGACATCCCTTTCACTTCCCGAGATTTCTTGGAAACGACTTGACGACAAATCATGAAACTTTCAAAACGAATAGATCTCAATAAACCGAGCAAACATTTTTATAGACTCAAAATTCTCACATCATTCCTTCAAGAAGATATGAGAGTCCCGAAGACCTAACGTTCCTTCCACTTCTGACAACATTCTATACCTCATCTTCTCGAGTTGCAATTTTTTGACAACTAAGATCAAATTGGAGTGCTTTTTGTTTCTTTCAAAAATACCGTCCCTAGAACACAGTAGAAGCAAAATACTGAAATCAACGTCAAAAGATATGTCTATTTTTGCAATGGTACCAGAGCTGCCATGCGTACCCCGTTTTGCCAGTTTGTACTCCTGAGGTACATATTTTGTACCCCATTTGGATTTTTTAGTTTCTCCTGTCATAAACTGGTCGTTTAATTGAATTGAACCATGTTTTTCAATAGAGCTTGTCTCACTTTTGTAGGCACAATTATAGTGAAGAATATTGGTAAAGAGTTAATCAGCGAATATTAACATCCTTTTATTTACTTAGTTTTGCTTTGATGTTTTCTGTTTTACATGCTTATTTTCACTTGCCGAATCGAAACGAAATTCGACTGATTTTCTTAATTTTTCTCTTTCTCTTTATTATTTTTCTGTCATATTTGACTGATACACAATATTTATGAAGGTAATTTAGATTTAAGCTTCTACTGCAAAGATGATATAATATTAATCTTTGTTCGGAATTCGGCGAAGAAGATGAAATATCCATATCTGAACAGGAATGTAGCGAAGAAAAAAAAGTGAAGGGAGGTACAAGAGAAATTTTCCAAAGATGGGGCGGTGCAGAATTTTCTTCCATTCGATGACCTTTTCTATTCGATAAAAAAATCGATTTTTGCTGGAAAAAAAATGAAATTTTTCTCAGAGTGAAGGTGCGCACTTCCAGCAGCCTATGGTCGCCACATCTCTGCATCAGAAGAATCTGATCTAGAAACAATAGCAATAGTTGACGAATCTAGTAGTTCTATTTGAAAAAATCATCCACAACTATCCAACAAGAAAGCTTCATCAACAAAATCGAAACTATATTGTAATCTCGATAAGAAATAGGCGAAGAATCCAAGATATGCACTGCTTTTTCAGAAATATAAGATCAACTCATATCTTCAATATAGTTCTGTTTGTAAATCAAACTTCTCGATTACTTATGACAGAACACATTCGACTAACAAATATCTTGAATAAGCTGCCTAGTCAGACTAAATCGATGGAAACACGTTTTTTTATTCGTTAAAATGTGCGCTTTTTTGCGATGTCAAAAAATTATACTTTGGATAAAAAGTGAGTTTGAAGAAGATAACGCCCATAAACTTACCTTTATCTAAAATGAATTGTTTTTCGTGTAAAAAGCGCATATTTTAACGCGCAAAAACGCATTAAAATAAGCCTTTCTTTATCTGGCTTGTAATAAACAATCAAAGTTGAAGCTCAAGGACAATGTATTGTTCTCACAGTACAGTTGTTTTTAAAATTATGACTTATTTGCGAAAGTCGTTGTTGTGAAAAAAATGAGCAACAAAAGTTAATTTATAATAGAGAAAAGTTGGATATAATGTTATGCTCTCAAATAGAAGTTTTTCTAACAGTTTTCCAAATTAATCGACCCGTTTTAGAGGAAAAATTACGTACCTTAACGACGTACCTCATCCTAAAAGAAGTTGTACCCCAACTGTATCACATTTGAAAATTAAGATATGATGGTAGCCCTGAATGGTACTAATTTTTTAGGGGCTGAAATACAAATCCCACTTTGACTAAAGGGTGTAGATGTACTCTTGAGTATTTCATTAATCCACACTCACACCCTAGTTTTTCTTGACAGCATTTAGTGAGAAAATTTCGAATGAGAAACACTTTTTGAAATTTTTCATCGATTTCGATGGACTCATGACGCAGCACAATATTCAATTTTGCCGGTGATTATCGTTCTAATTTTGCTTTTGATCGCTTCGACAATTGTTTTGGCATGGATCCCAGCTTATATAATAACTTGCAGTGTGACATTATCGAAAAACTCATAAATATTTGATCTCAGCTATTGAATGTCAATGAATCGCTAGAGACTATTTTTTTCATCGATCTTCAAACGGTTCTCATGCAACATGTTGCAAGTATTCAATAATGCCCTAAATATTAGTCAGTGCAACTGATATTATGAGCAGAAGCAAATTGATTTGAACGCTTTCGATAATTCTATATCGAATAATTCATTCGACAAATCTCTTTTATTCAATCAAATATCAGAATGATCCAATGAATTTATGCTTTCTCTACTGAATTGGACATGTTTGGATCAACATAAGTTTGATCGTTTTCGTTTAATTGTTAATATTTAAATCTTTTCTTCAGATTTTTCAATTTTAAACAAGAGTCAAGTCAAATCAGCATTCATCGACCGTGATCAAGAAAAATTCGAAACAATCAAAATGAGAATCGTGCAGGTGTAGATGATTGGGTGAGAATGAAGAAAATTGTCCGTCCCCTCACATTCATCCAACCATATGCCTACTAAGAATACATAATGATAAGCATAACAAAAACCATCGAAGTTCTTCTTCAATAGAGCTTCTTGATATTTCAAAATCAAATACAACACTGCAATAAAAAGATTCAAATTAGTCATTATTTATTACTTTATTAATAAAGATTTTACTGATCAACTAAAAGAATACACTACAGTGGAATATACGACTGATAAAGTTTAGTGATTCAAGTGGGTTACAATTAAATAAAAATAAACTATTATCTACTTGAAAATAGGAGTTTATTTCATATAATAATCTCTGAATGAAAGATCAATGTCACTAGTCATCTCGTCCAATGTAAGTAATTTTTTCGCCTGGATCATCGCCATTATATGAAAGAACGATACGTTTCTTTTGTTCGGATTCAGGCTGTCCAAAGACGACTTTTTTTGGTGGTACACAACCTGTGGCACAGGTACCTGTACTAACTAGATGTACTTCATAGCCTAAAAGAAGAAAGATCGATGAATTTAAAATCAGTCTTTATGATTCAAGTATGATTGGAAGCCTTCTATTACCTTTACTTTTTAATTCTTGTTCCACATTACGAACATTTTGCCCAACATACTTCTGTAGATCTTCATCAATGGGTGGCATGATTTTTGTTTTGCTGCTGTCTATGTTACTTCTACGTATATTGATGGTAAAAAAATGAATAGACTGTTTATTTTACTCTTTTAAGTGACGTGTGTTCTCTTGCGTTCTCTACTATATTTTTTATCAGACAGCCACCTAGTGAAATAACAAAGAACAGAACAGAAATAATACTACTCTACTATGTGCAAATGCTCTTTATGATTCCGTACATCAGAGATTTCTATTTGGCTATATGTATAGGTAAAAGAGAAAAAAAAAGAATAGAAACATAAATGAGTAGTGAATAATTTTTCATCATATATACTTTTGCTGTGACATACTATGCATACAAGGGCTATCAATAGCAAGGGAGCAAAGAATAATTCTTTTTTTTTATGTCGATAATCATGATTTGATACCGTTGATTGCTGTTGATTAGTTGTGAGTATGCATGAAGACAAATTCCATACAAACATTCACACTCACACCCTCATTTTCTGCTATTTATAGGAGAAAATCATCCCTTGAGCTAATTCTAATTTAATATTTCTGTACAATAACAAATACTCATATTTGTTATGGATGTTGTTGAATATAAATTGATTACTTGTCAGACCTTGATGCAACTATTATCGGATTTTAATAACTGTTTTCAGATGTTTTTCATTATTTTCAAGCATTTTGTGAATAAAATATGTACAAAAGTATTTCGAACTGTGTATCAGAGATTGAATTATAGTTTTCTGCTGCTGTTAAAAAATCTAATTTGATACTCTTTAATTGTTTTGTATAACTTAACTGAATATTACTAAATGTTTTCATGCATCTTTACTTATTTTTAGGCTTCTTTTCATATTTAGGCATATTTTGAAGATAAATATGCTGAAGAAGCTATTTCAATCATATATCAATTAGTAGATTGAATGTTTCTGTGGATGTTAGTGAAGACAAGTTGGAATATGTTGACTTGTTAATCCTTTGGCTATCGACATAAGAAAAAGAGAGAAAGCTCTTTAGGACATCATTATAGCTAATAGTTTTAATACGATATCTAATTAAGATCGGCAGTCACACAACTCTACTTATAATCGATGGTATCTTAAATGTTAATTTCATGTAAGTTGCACCGAAAAAGTTCTCTAACGATCTGTTGATTGACTGAACTGGTTGACATTAGCGACATCCTCTTTTGGAGTAATTATTTGATTGACAGATTCAACGTTCATATCACCACCATGCGTATCTTGACGAGTGACCAGAGGCTGTTCAATAGTCCCAACTGTCTTAGTAATTTCAGATTCAGGCTTAACAGTTGAGAATGTTGGCGGACACATAATTTGTGTTGCTGCTAATGATACGATGCAGTATACCAAGAAGCAATAGAATCCGGCTTCCAGTTGTGCTTCAATTTCTGATACGACTACTGAGGAAAAAAAAGACACAAGTATTGACGTTACGAACACATCAGCCATGCTCCATTTGCCCCAATCACGAATAATTGTATAAATCATGTAGTTATGTTTGGGGTTTTTTATAAACCTACAACAGATAATTTATTATCAAGTTTTCTGATGCTTCGATATGAAACTTATGTCATTGAACGATACGTGATAAGGAGTGCAGTCTTTTCAATAGCATATACTTAGGGCAATCTAAAAATAGTGGCGGAGGTTCGATAATTCCTTATGAAAAACTTTAAGAAACTTTCTCTCTATATAGTCTGATAGAAAAAAGAAGACTCTATTTTTCTATATTATTTGATCATACTTTAACTAATATCATAATAATAAACTTTCGATAAGATTTGTTTCATTATGATATGTACTGGTTGTACTAGATCATATTTTGTTTTCGATGTGTATCATCTTCTTGTTATTCTCTGTGTTCTTCTTCTTCTCTCTGTTTTTTCTCTTCGTTGGTCTCATTTTCTTCAATGCCTAGCTGTCTCTACATATTAGGATATACAAAATTTAGTCACCTTAGAATAAAAACGAAATATCGAGTTCATCAAATTTTTATTTCATTAAATGCTCGAAGTAACCACCGTGATTATCCACGCATAACTGCATTCATTGATTCTATTCATAGAATGTTTTTCTATATTCTTCTTTATTTAAAGAGTTCATGAAGTTGGATACAACACGATACAACGATTCTGAATCGTTTTGATCGGTCAGATCTTGTTTGATGAAATCGAATAACCAAAAGTCACATGATGCCAAATTCGGAGAATTAGGCGGGTGTGAAATTATTGTGATATCTTCAGATTCAAGATAATAATTCGAGACTTCTTCATGAATATGTGATCTCCCATTATCGTGATGAATATTAATATCTTGGACACCACATGAAGATCGTTGCTTCTTAATGTTGTTAATGAGAGGTTGCAAACAATTATTAATGTAATATTGGTGGTTGATAGTTTGCCTCCGTTCCATATGATGAATGAAAACAGAATCAGTTGATTTAAAAAAGATGCTAAATAAGGTTTTCAGAGAAAAATAACTCTGTCGAATCACAGTAGGTAAAGGATCACTTCTTGAAACCCAAGCAGAATTTGATGACTTTTGACTAATCTATTTATAGCAAAACAATGACTCATCAACTGTTGCCATGCCACATAATCACCACGCACCTGAATCGAATTTTGCTAAATTTTCTTTGCATATTCGAACTCGTTCATCTTGTTGCGAATCAGTCAGCCAGTTGGATATACAACGAGTAGTAATTTTTCTCAGCTTCAAATAATAGGAGATTATTCGCTGAATGGTGCCGCAGCTCAAATCAGTTTGCATTTGCGCCTCTTCCATTGTAATATAAGGATCATCATTAATAAGGCTATAAACTTGTTTCATATTTCCAGATGTTGTCTCGGTTACAGGTCTGTCAGGTCGCCCTTCATCTTTAATGTCTTCTCAGCCTTCACGAAACCATTTAGACCACCTTTCTACTGTCATAAGTACAGGAGCTTGATCACCAAAAACAGAACGTAGTTTATTGTAAATAATTCTTGACGCAATATTAATTGCAGTATGTACTTTAATTTAGAAACGAAAATTTTCCTTATCCATATAAATAAAAGTGAATAGTGTTGAGATTTAATTTAACTTTGTTCCTTTAGCGTTCTTAGAATACAAGTATACACTGCACATATACATAAAACAAACAGGATGTATGGCTTTGTATATATATGTGTATAGACTACTAGGCATTGAAGGACATGAGACAAAAGAAGAAAAAAAACAGAGAGAAGAAGAAGAACATAGAGAATAACAAGAAGATGATACATATCGAAAACAAAATATGATCTAGTACAACCAGTACATATCATAATGAAACAAATCTTATCGAAAGTTTATTATTATGATATTAGTTAAAGTATGATCAAATAATATAGAAAAATAGAGCATTCTTTTTTCTATCAGACTATATAGAGAGAAAGTTTCTTAAAGTTTTTTATAAAGAATTATTGAACCTCCGCCACTGCTTTCGAATTCCTCTAAGTAGTTGAGCTCCATAAAGCTTGATCTAGTTGAACGCTGATAGATTATAGTATTCAAGTGGTGAGCAACGCCTGAAGCTTTTCTGTTTTCTAGCGAGAAACATCCAAAAGCAAGGAAAAAAAACTTACTGCATCATCAACAACAAAATAGCTTTGAGAACTGGTATAACAATCGAAAATATGATAATCAAAATAGCAGGTGCATAGCCGCCGTTTTCGAACAGGTATGATATTGTTGACAAAGTACTCCGTCTTTGAGATGCCACTAGAATTTTCGATATTGGTGAAATGACGTAGACGTGTACATCCATCATTGGATACCACAGACCAGGAACAAGAAAGATTAAACTGATGATAGTAAGACTATGAGAAATCCAGTTCCGAATGCGATCTGTTGTCCATTTTTTCTCAAAGATTGGAGACGGAGAATTGGATGGCGGTGAAATATTTAAACAAATTTGAGATACGTTCCCATCATCACTAAGGCCCCAGGAGAGCAAAAGACGGGTAAAAAGACTAGTTAGTTTTACTAGTCATGACGCCCCGTCACTCATTAGTCTTTTTCTCAAAACGACCTAGACATGACTAGTCTGATATTGTTGGGAGTCCGTACACCGCGTCCTGACTAGCCCACAGACGGGCGTCAGTATTTCAATATAGTCTAGTCATTTATACAAAAAGGACTAGTCCAGACTAGTAATAGTTGTTGAAATAGACTAGTCATGTGTGGTCACTTTTTAAGAGAATGACTAGTCAAGACACGGCAACATGACGCCAGTCTGTCACAAAAATATATGGTCTCGTATCTCCTCATATCGCCTCCGGACTAGTCCTGACGGTCCGTCATGACACCCGTCCGATATATTTAAAAATTGAAAAATATATATGTGCATATCGATCATATTGCTAACTACATGCTACACATTACACAACTACTAGTCATTCATACCGTCTGAAATCCGTTCTTTTGTCAGTCAGATGTTGGCGTCCAGACTAGTCTAAATTATAGAAGCAAAGCGGTGAAGGTTAGAATCGAACATACATACTTTGTGTTACACATCGAGCTTGGCAAGCAGTTGAACCATATACGCTAATGTTTCATTAGTGACACATCTTTCACACATTAATGATCAGAGAAGTTCATAATATTATTTGATAAGAATTATTAATTCATGTACTAACAGACTATTTAATGATGTGTATCAGTACAAATCAAAAGTTCTGATTCTTAGTTACACAAAGCACTACCTCAGAAGATTAGATCAAGAAAATTAGATTAAAGAAGTTTTTTTTTAAAGAAATAATTTATTTTTATTAATAATAAAAATGATTTTTATTTGTTAACTATTGTCTTTTAAGTTAGAAAATTCTAAAACAGTGACACGATTACCAGGTTCACATATACAAGCATTTTTTTTTTCAAGATAAATTTTGGATGCTTAGATGGAAAATGGTTAATGACTGTAATCATAAAATATTAGGTACTTGATATTGAGCATTAGAAATATTAAATTTAATTTTTAATGTTCCAGGTTTAATTTCTACAAGTTCTCCGATGAAAAGACGAATGGTGTTTTTTTGTAATTGAACAATAGCTCGAATAAGATCATATTTTACTTTATCATGAGCAAAACTGAATGAGATACAACTGTCAGCAACTAATTTTCTGTAAGCAGTCGCAGTAGTCTTTATTAAAACACCTGACATTATCAAAGAATGATAGAAAATTAAATCATCATTAAATAGTGATTGTACACGTGATTCACATGTTTCCTTCGTTTTAAACATCTTTCATATTAAGCCACGAACAAAACAGGTGATTGTGAAATCTTCTTTATATAGGTTTAGGAGAGGACGAAGAAGAAGAGAGTTAAAGAGAGAGCTGTTTCTATGGCGAAACCAATGATATATATGTGAATATTCGGTTAGGTGTCGCTTGAATACATGACAAAAAAAATTAAAGAGCCAATTAGATAAACTAGTGATTCAATCATCAATCTCAGATGTTTTGTATACAATGAAATAAAAAAGAATTCCTTTTTTATAAATATGACCGATCAAATTAATAATATTGTTGATGAAAATTCATACAATTTATAACTTAATGAACAATAATCGTACGATAACGAAAATATGACAATAATAATTGTTTTCATTTTTTCTGTTCTATATGATAAAAACAGTTAAAGATAGAGACAAATCGAAGTTAATGATTTTTAGCATTTCAAACTCAATGAATTTTCCTTATTAATAAAACAATTTTTATAACTGATAATCGATAAATAAACTACACCATTGTAGAATCTTAGATAATTAAACAGTCGTGTTTTTCATAATGCAAGTTTGTAACTTTGTTATTCTTAGGTTATGTATACGTACTAAGATGTATTGAATTGAAGGTGACAAAGAGTTTTCATAAACAAGCAACCAGTTCAAACTAAAAATTACATTAAATTTCTGTAATTAGACTAGACTTGACAAGTATTAAAGATATAACCAACTATCAATGTAAAATGTCGTACTGAATTTCGGACTAGTCTGGTTCAGACAGTATGTCATCTCTAGTAAAACATGGCAGTCTTGACTGGTGCTCAGGATCTCTCAGACTAGTCCAGACATGTATTTCAAAATTATTAGACTAGTCCAGTCCCGTCATTATATTACCTCATAAGACACTGACTAGTCCTGACGCCAACACCAAATATTTGGGACTAGACTTGACTAGTCCTGATCCCGGCACCATATATTTGGGACTAGACTTGACTAGTCCTGATCCCGGCACCAAATATTTGGGACTAGACTTGACTAGTCCTGATCCCGGTACCAAATATTTGGGACTAGACTTGACTAGTGCTAATCCCGGCACCAAATATTTGGGACTAGACTTGACTAGTCGTGATCCCGCCACCAAATATTTGGGACTAGACTTGACTAGTCCTCAGAATATCTCAGACTAGTCCAGTCCTGTCAGTATGTCGCTTTTTAAAATACTGACCAGTCCTGACGGCCACACTCAGTGTTCTAGTCTAGACAAGACGGTTGTTGCGGACGTTTTGGACCAGACATGTCGCCAGTCCTCTCTTTTTTTTGCTTGCCTGGGGCTTGATTGAAACGATTGATAAGATTTAAATTTCTTCTTCAATGCGTCCATTATTGTTGAAGATTATTCAACCTATTAATAATGACCAACGATAGACTGTTGGAATGTTTTGCCTTTGTCTCACTTTCAAATACCTAAAACCAATAACAGTCTCAGTAATAATTTGTGAGAATTATCCTTGGCAGTCTTGCGCCTTGGGAGTCAATCGATAGGCAAAGCTCATTAGAAATCAGTACTGTAGAAAGAAAATGTGTTTTTGACTCGAACTTGGCAACTAACAATATATTTAAGACATAGACTAAAAATCGATTATTTTCAAAGAGGCCAATCTAACGCTTATTTTCTCCTATTTAGAAATCGAAACTTCTTGAGCCTTCATCTAATAAACACTCCTATTTCAATAATCTATTCATATTTTCTGACTTGAAGTTGAGAATCTCAGACTAAATTACTGGATGACAAACACGCACTGACAGTAAGATATGAAATGAAATAAACTAAAATAAACAATCCAAGAGGACATCAGCAAAACTATTCTTTAGAGAGTAGAAGATTTGGATTTGTAATTCTAGCATAACTTGCATGAGTCTCCGTTTCTCAACCATGTGTGTGCCTCGGTACCATCCCATCTGATCGACACTTTCAAAATTCTTCTCGAGACTTGCACCAACTCATTTTCTCGCTCGATCAACGCTTATCTTGCAACCAAATCAGAATGCAGAATGATTGGTAACTCTATTACCCCGCACAAGCAACATAAACTATTAGTCTATCGGCATTGGTATTGCTACCTAGCATCTTCAAAACGAGTGGAAACAACACAAAGGAAAGAGTAACTGATTTGCATTAGAAACATTATAGATTTGATGAATGGACTTTTGAATGTCTTCCTATCAAGAAATGATTACCTCATGAAAATGAGCAAAACAATCGGAGAGAAAAAAGATTGCCGTTGATTCGAATTTTGATGATGGATAATTTGGTGTTTTTTCTGCTACTCAAACTACTAATTGTTTATTATTGTTGTTGTTGTTGGTATTCTCTCTTTCTCTCTCTCTCTTGTCAAATATTGATTAATGAAATTACTTATGATACATTCAGTTAGAATATGTGATACATTGATCATACATTCGAAATTATTAACTGATTGCAAGGGGCGTGCTGATTAAATGAGAAAAGGAGTACGTGATGCTCATTAGGGAAAGAAAAAAAACGAGTCAATAAGGTGAGAGTGAATTTGTGTCTTACTCGGTTGGAATGAGGGAGAAAAAAGACGATTAGTCACTGATAGATTGTTTCTAACACATATAAAGTTTTTCTTGACAATTGATTAACACTAAGTAATTGGTATAAGTAAAAAGAGAGTGAATTATAGCATACGGTTGACTTGCGATCGACCAAAATAACTGGTTGATTTGAACACGTCTTGACGTTGGCTATCAGTAAATAATCTTCGTCAAAATTTCTCTGCCTTATCATATAGAACGAATATGTAGTCTATTGATGCATGACGAACAGAACGAAAGAAAACATAGTTTCATAAACCTTCTCTCTTTTTCAGTCCAAAACGAGAAATGAGCAACAGGATCACGTCAAATAAACTATTCTTTCCACAAGTATTTCATTTTGCTAGATGCTCATGTGAACAATGCAGCAAATGAACATATGTACACATAGATTAATTAACGAAATCACTAGTAATAGATTCAAATCCGTGATAATCATTAAACCACGAGAAATCATCTATTAGAAAATTCTTTGGATAGCCCTTTTTTCTTTTAATTTCAACATAAGTGAACACTCACACAACGCATTGACTTTCACTAGAGAAGAAACAGATATATATATATCTTAAATATCTAGGGTTTAACTTAGGGACACGCACAACAAAGGATACTGGAATGCGATCAAAGAAGAATCACCGTTACAAGAAAGAGATGATCTAATATCAATAAAGAGCAATGTCATATTCAGGGAAAGAAAGAAAGAAGCGAGAAGAAGAGAAAGAAAAAGGAGAAAATATTATGTGAAGATGGAGCCCGTACCAATCAGCTTCTTTTAAAAAAATGTGTGTCTGCATAATATGTATGAGGAAAGAGAAAAAAAGGCAACTTTCATAAGGAATAGAAAATGTATATTAAAAAATTTAACGCTTGATAGAAACAAAAATGCACGTGTTCGACAACATACAGAGGAAAAATGTCTATTACCAGTATAAATGATGGTAATATTATTCTGTGAGAATTTGATTTTGTAATAATTGTCCAAATATATCGACGATTGTTTGATTTTTTTTTAAGTCAATAAATAATGTATGTCTCAGCATATTAATGTTTCCATATAATATGTTCATTGATTTTAATATTTGTTTGACCTTGATAATGTTCAAGAATGGATAAACACGACGAGTGACTTCATAATGATAATGATTTTTTCGATGACGAGGATTAGCTTTTCGATTCTGTATTTGTTTTGGTGTAAAAGTCATTGTTGTTACTAGGTTTGAACCTAAATAGTTAAAATTTCTTACCTAATATAGTTCATCTCATAGAAAAACCTTCCTCGTTTCTTTTAATGATTCATCATGATAATGTTCTTTGTATATGAATGACTTGGTTTATGTTAGAAATGAGTTTTCATAATTTCAGGTAACAATTAATTACCTATTTTATCTTCTTGTTGGAGTTCCATTGATTCATTCATCTTAAATCTTTAATAATTCATCGTAGTATGACTCATAATGTTCATCATCTGAAATTTGTTCATTACTATTTAAAATTTTTATATTATTTGATATACTTATCTGTTCAACATCTTCGTTATCATTTTAATATTGATTTTAAAAATTTCCTTTTTATTTAATTTTGTTGGTTCATCTTGTAGATGAATCTATTAATTCTTCATTTAATTGTTGTAATTCAATTGATGGTTCTTGTTATATATCTGTTAATTATTTATTATTCGATATATCCTCCCATTCAATCGTTGGTAGTGGCGTTAATAAATTTATTAGATTCATTTCATAACATAAATTTTTAACAGTAAAAACATCGTTAACAACATATGCTTTAATATTGATCGGTATTTTTTTTCTTCCTCTATACAATACACACGTTAAGGACTAACTGCCTGCTCTGGAATATATGTATTTAAAGAAAGATTAATGCCATATCCTCATTTCGTTCATGTTGCTGCTTAATTCAAATATTGTTTAAATTTGCATTTAATCACCCATTGTGATAATTGTTTTTGGCTAACATCATATTCTTATTGTATATGATGATCATTAATTTCAATGTTTGTACTAAATCAATAAAATGCGTTGAATTTTTTAAGTTCTTCTAATGATGAACTACATGCGTGAATATGATTGCTAGACGTCAAAATTATCGAACATAATTGTTGTATCTTCTTGAATAAAGGACATGTAATTAATGGTAAATATTGGACTTCAATAATGATAGTAATTAGTAAAAGTTTTGACGAATAAATTCAGCTTGTAGCGTTATAGATTTATGTAATAATGCATCATCTTCTATATTTATAGAAGAATGATTTGTCAATTTTGTTTCGTCGATTAACTTTTCATTTTTAAATAATCAATATGATCTCGTTTTATATTCAATTAACAAGATGTTTTCGATAATGTCTTTCCATTATTCGAGTTTGTTTAGAAATTTTCACAATG